TCTCTTCTCTTCTCTTCTCTTCTCTTCTCTTCTCTTCTCTTCTCTTCTCTTCTCTTCTCTTCTCTTCTCTTCTCTTCTCTTCTCTTCTCTTCTCTTCTCTTCTCTTCTCTTCTCTTCGTCTTTTTTTCCCCCCTTCATTGTAGAATTCTGTAACAGTTGGATTTTTGGGGGGAGGGGTGCTGGAACACGTGTGCATCTGTGTGACCAAGGAAGCACGTTCATACTGTTTAGTCTGAGAAGTTCTTTCCTTCAAGATTATTCACCTTGTTTGAAGTAAAAGATCCAAAATCACTTCTTTTTCTTTTACATTCCTAGTGTCCTCCTCACACATCAAGTCCCTTTGCTTTGCCTAGGCAAGTAAGGCATATGGTTTGCAAAGTTTGCCCTCCCAGAACCAAGAACCCCACTTTTGATTATCCTTTCCATAAGTACTTTAAACTGAGGCACCTTATGTCTCCTGAAACTAGGTTACTTACTGCACTGCCCCTTTCTGCAATGTCCCTGCTGCTTACCAAAACAAAATCTAAAATAACCTCATTCCTGGCTGGTTCAGTGACTGTTCTGTTAAGCTGCATGTCAGCTGGCACATACAGGAATAATAGAGCCCTACTGTTATTAATAGCATTTGTTCTCCAATGTATATCTATAGATACGTTATTTCCATTTGGCTGGACAGTTGTTCTGGCTGCACAGTTACTTGGCCCTTTGATTCAGTTAAGAATTATCTTTAAGCATTGTAAGAAATATTACGCACACATCAGGAGCCAACTGATATTCATTAGCTATATAAGCATGTTACAACAACTGTATTAAACTTCATGTGATGTACATTCCATATTATGTACGAATAGCTTTTATACCATTGGGATAGTTCTGAGAATCTATTTTTAAAAATAGTTTTATTTCAGCCCTTTGGTTACAGAGGAAATGAGGCTTACATCTGTTCAGTTGTTGGGCAGTGAAATCTTGAGGATCTGATTAACTTCCAGAGCACTGACCAGGGTGTGTATGATGTTTCTAAGTCTTTGCATCTTCAGAGATTAAAACACTTTATTTTACAGTCTCAGAGGAGCAAGGTAGGCTTGTATACTAAAACATCAGACCATTTTTATTCACTTGCTTTGACATTTCGTGAGGGCAAGGTGTATTGACAGACATAATATATGATTATTGCAAAAGAAGAAGGTTCTAACATATATTTCCTTTTTTACTAATGTAATTGCATGGTGAGAATTCATGTTAAAATCAGAAGGGAGGAGAGATTTACCATAATTAGCAGAAAAGCAACAACAGATTCTCTCTTTTGAAAAGTAAGAACAAGCTGGGTACAGTCTGGACTCTGTGATTTAATGATTAAATCAAAATTGCATGTTCTTTGTATTAATTGTAAGCCATTGATCTTGTGTTGTAATCGTCATACTGTCCATTTTGTCAGCGCAGGGAGTCTGG